ACCCCCCCAGATTCCCTCCTAATGAGCCAGTCTCCCCCCACTCCAAGTCCCAGGCCCCATTCCCTGGCCCCCGGCCAGCTAGTTCCCGCCTTGGGCCAGTCAGACCTGTCCTGCTCCCCCCAGGTTCCAGCTGCCCCGCATGCAGATCTGCGGGCTGGAGGACTCCGACTGGGTGATCCGACTCTCCGAGCTCTTGAAACGCAAAGGTGGGTCCGACCCCCTCTCCAGCTGCTGCCTCCTCAATGGAGCAATGCTGGGGCCCCACAGAGGGAGAGTGGGAGGGCCTGGGGTGGGTGGGGCAGAGGCATCTGTGAGATGCTGGGGGGCAGAGGGGTGGAGAGCAAGGGGTTTGCTGGGGGATGAAGCTGACACAGTTGTGAGGATGGGGAGAGGGCCTGCCCAGCTCAGCCAGCTCACTAACCCTAGCCAGGAGCGCAGGGGGCCAGCCCCAAACTCCCCCAATGCTCCGCAGCTCCCCAACACCCATGCCCAGATGCCAAGCCGACCCACGGAGCTGCACGGACCCACAGCCCGACCCACGGAGCTGCACGGACCCACAGCCCGACCCACGGAGCTGCACGGACCCACAGCCCGACCCACGGAGCTGCACGGACCCACAGCCCGACCCACGGAGCTGCACGGACCCACAGCCCGACCCACGGAGCTGCACGGACCCACAGCCCGACCCACGGAGCTGCACGGACCCACAGCCCGACCCACGGAGCTGCACGGACCCACAGCCCGACCCACGGAGCTGCACGGACCCACAGCCCGACCCACGGAGCTGCACGGACCCACAGCCCGACCCACGGAGCTGCACGGACCCACAGCCCGACCCACGGAGCTGCACGGACCCACAGCCCGACCCACGGAGCTGCACGGACCCACAGCCCGACCCACGGAGCTGCACGGACCCACAGCCCGACCCACGGAGCTGCACGGACCCACAGCCCGACCCACGGAGCTGCACGGACCCACAGCCCGACCCACGGAGCTGCACGGACCCACAGCCCGACCCACGGAGCTGCACGGACCCACAGCCCGACCCACGGAGCTGCACGGACCCACAGCCCGACCCACGGAGCTGCACGGACCCACAGCCCGACCCACGGAGCTGCACGGACCCACAGCCCGACCCACGGAGCTGCACGGACCCACAGCCCGACCCACGGAGCTGCACGGACCCACAGCCCGACCCACGGAGCTGCACGGACCCACAGCCCGACCCACGGAGCTGCACGGACCCACAGCCCGACCCACGGAGCTGCACGGACCCACAGCCCGACCCACAGAGCTGCACGGAGCCACAGCCCGACCCACGGAGCTGCACGGACCCACAGCCCGACCCACGGAGCTGCACGGACCCCCAGTGCTGCGAGGACCCTCGGCCCAAGCCACAGAGGGAGACCTGCCCACTGGTGAGCTCTCAGTGGGGATTTTCCTCCCCTGTGGGTGGGGTATCCTTGGTGTGTGGGGATCCTTTTGTCTTGCAGATTCCATTGGGGGGCCCAGCCTGGCACCCCAGCAGGGGGAAGGAGCTGGCAATGGGCCCCGTCCTGTGCAATTTGGTTCAGTCCCCACGGCCGTGCTGGCACTGCTGGGCATCACCCTGGCCCTGGTGGGGGTTGTGACTTACCTGCTGTGCCAGAGGAACCGGAGGCCCCACCAGGTACTTGGCATCCCACACAGAAGCCCCGGTAAGTAGGGCAGCAGGGTTGGGGAGACCTGGCTTTCCTGGGGGGCCTTAGCTATTTACCCATAGCTCATGGTTAGTCCATCACCTATCTGTACCCCTGTGTAATAAACCCCCACTCCTGAGCTGTGACCCCCCCCGCGCCTCATCTCTGCCCAGTCACTGCCCCCCCAACCCCAGTGCATGTGGGTTGTTTCCTGAGGGAGGGGGCTCCTCTCCTCCGTGGGCGGGACAGCTTCCCAGACCTGGCCCTGGCCATGCTGAGTTGGGAGGGGGTCTCATCAGTTTGCTTTTAACCCCCCCGTTTTGTCCCCCCTAGGTAATGGGCTGCTGTACTACCCCTGCGATCGGGGATGAGATGGCTGTGCTCGCAAATGGTGCCCCCTCAATCTGCAGCTCTGAGCCCCATGGGATTTCAGGGGGTGTGGTATGGAGGGGAGAGTTTGTAGTGGGAAGATGTGATGCCCAGCCTTCCATTGGACTAGTCCCCCTGGCTCCAGGGCTAAACAAACCTTTAGTCATTGGCAAGGTACCCAGACCCTGACTAATCTATTCCTGGGGGGCTGTGCGTCCATCCCCTCCTTGTATGGTGTGTCGGTGCTTTGATATAGACGTTTGCATAGGCTGCAGCTGGTTATTAATGGGGGTTAGTTGGGGGGGTCCTCCTCCCTGCAGCCCCCAGATCCCCGCCTTTGTGCCAGGGGGCACCTGGAACCAGCCTGAAATCCCAGTATGCAGGGGGGCATTGTCCCTTGGCCCCAGAGACTGATGGGGGACGAGGGGGGGGCAAGAGAAGAAGAAACCACCCTTAGCTACCAGACACTTTCACTTCCTCTGCGTGGAGGCGGGAGCAGGGCTGTGATCACCCCGCTCCATGCAGAGGGAGGCACAGAAAAGGGGAAGAGCGAGTAGACACTGCTGCCCAGACCCACCCCCCAAATTCTTGGTCCCCCTGGGATCCCCACACACCTGAACAGGGGGGCATTTGTTGATGGTGGGGAACCAGAGAGCAGGGAATATACCTGCTCCCCCCTTCCCTCCAGTCTGAGATCTGCCCATACTCAGGGCTCCTCCTTCATGCCCCTGACCTCTGAGGCCATGTTGGAGCGACTCACCACGGACAGGCTGGCTGGAGCAGCCCCTGCCTGCTGTGGGTGGGGAGCTGCTCCAGCCCTTACTGGTTAACTGGAACTGGTAAGCCTCACACATTAAGGTGAGGTTAACTGGTTAACCATTCTCCACCCTACCCCTCGGCTACGTCTACATTGGCACCCCTTCCGGAAAAGGGATGCTAATGTAGACTTTGGAATAGGCAAATCCGCAGGGGATTTAAATATCCCCCGCGGTATTTGCATTAACATGGCTGCCGCTTTTTTCCGGCTTGGGGAAAAGCCGGAGAAAAGCGCCAGTCTAGACGTTATTCTCCGGAAAATAAAGCCTTTTCTGGAGGATCTCTTATTCCTACTTTGAAAGTAGGAATAAGAAATCCTCCAGAAAAGGCTTTATTTTACGGAGAATAAAGTCTAGACTGGCGCTTTTCTCCGGCTTTTCCCCAAGCCGGAAAAAAGCGGCAGCCCAGTTAAAG